GCAGAATTCCTGAAAAGTGAGTACTCATGAGCCTACACAAGCCAGCTCCAGCATACCACTTGATTTCTTTGCTGCTGACTGCCCATCTTTGAAAATCAAATGGCTGACACTTTCTTACTACCTAATATGACATTGGTGCTATCCTATCTTTCACCCTTTCTCCTACAGGGCTTCCTATCTCATTCTCCTAATCCATATCTACCACCCATCCTATCCAAAGCTTTTTGCTTACCATTCATCCCTGCACTGTAATTTGCCTCTTCCCATCCCCCAAATGCCTTTCCCAGTCGCATTTTTTTTTTTTTTTTAAATCAAGCTACGTTTCCCAGTTGAAGGAAAGCCTCAGACCACAACAGGTATCTTGGGACATGGAGAGTCTCTCAGCAAGCTATTGGGTCTCATGAAGAGAGGACATCTTTGGTCTAGAAAAGGAAAATATTCTTAGAATTCCGGGATAGAAATCTAAGTGTAAAAAAAATTTTTAACTTAATATATAAAGGAAGTCACAGTGCAGAAAGTTACAGTGCCATTATTATAGTATGTAGCTACACTGAGAATTACTTGAGGATGGGGGAAAAGTGAGACCATGGCTACCATTTAAAATCCCATTTTAAGGTAATCCTTTTATAAAAACCTGTTTTAGGCCGGGTGCGGTGGCTCAAGCCTGTAATCCCAGCACTTTGGGAGGCCGAGGCGGGTGGATCACGTGGTCAACAGAGCGAGACCATCCTGGTCAACATGGTGAAACCCCGTCTCTACTAAAAATACAAAAAATTAGCTGGGCATGGTGGCATGTGCCTGTAATCCCAGCTACTCAGGAGGCTGAGGCAGGAGAATTGCCTGAACCCAGGAGGCGGAGGTTGCGGTGAGCCAAGATCGTGCCATTGCACTCCAGCCTGGGTAACAAGAGCGAAACTCCGTCTCAAAAAAAACAACAAAACAAAACAAAACAAAAAAACCCCTGTTTTTATTTGCAAATAGTTGATTGATAGGTGATATTTTAGATCACAGTTTATTTATATGGGGGGGGTATGGCTAACCTATATTTAGAGTAAGGCTTAGTATACATATCTTTTCCATTGTTTTTGTGTCACCTGTCAACAAAACTAAGACCCTGAAAAAATTGTCAGTTTGAGGGATACAGTTCTCACTAATGAATACATATGGAAAACATCTGCATAAGGGGATCATGCTGTTTCTGAAGTTCAGATTATTGGAAGAGAGCGGTGGGTGATGCAGGTGTGTGTTCTTCCTAAGTTTGGGTCAAATTAAAATGATAATTGAGACTGTCTTGAAAACTGCCCTTGTTAAAAAGTTAATCTATTTTATTTTAGTTAGAAACATGGCAGACTTGTTCACTGTGTAGCCAGATGGATGGATCTATTTATTCTGTAGGCCGGTCTTTCCCAGGCACAGCAGAGTAATTTATTAATTATCAGGGTATTCTTCAAGGATGGTAGGATTAAAGCATCTCAACAAAAATTGTTACCTTGATCTATTTTTCCTTGTTTTTTAAATCACCCTTCTACCCATTTTATCTTTCAAAACCATCTCAAGTAATACTAGGTACCTGGTTCTGCAGGAGTAAATGGGAGTCGGGTGGCTGAAATGCGGTTTGTTATTTGCTCTCAGTGACTTTATCAGTGTTCAGAGAATACTCCTTCAAGGAAAATAGGTACTTTCAATTCCAGGTGCCTTTGGAATCTAATTTTCAAGAGGCTTAGAAATGGAGCTTCTGTGTTCTCTTCTATTGAATATTTTGGGCATAAGGTAGTGTGACATAATATTACAAAAGAACAACAACAACAAACACACTACAGGCTGGGTATAGTGGCTCATACCTGTAATCTCAACATTTTTCGGAGGCCGAGGCTGGAGGATTTGTTTGAGTTCAGGAGTTTGAGACCAGCCTGGGCAACATAGGGATACCTAATCTCTACAGAAAATTTAAAAAGTAGCCAGAAGTAGGGGCGCATGCCTGTGGTCCCAGATACTTGGGAGACAGAGTGGGAAGTATCACTTGAGTCTTGGAACTGGAGGCTGTGGTGAGTCCTGATTGTACCACTGCACTCCAGCCTGGGTGAGTAAGTGAGACCCTGTCTCAAACAACAGCAACAGAAAACCTCAACTATTAAAGGTATGAAAGCAATTTAAAACTGACTGACTTGTAAAAAGAGGTTCATACTGAAAGCATCGCCAGAAGGATTCGTCTGCCTATGTTAGCCATCTCTTCTGTCCCCAGTCAAAGGAAGGCCCCAGATACTACTTGTATCTTGGGTCACAGAGTGTCTCCTAGCAATATGTTGGGTCCTACGTGAGGATGAAATTCTTGATCTTGCAAAGAAAGATATATTCTTAGAATTCTAGGTTAGAAATCAAAGTGATTTTTTTTTAAAGTCCAGATAGTAATTAATTTAGGGTGTGGGCTAAGTTCTCATGTAATCATTACCTTCTATGGCCCATTATAGTGCCAAACTGTCCATGGACAGTGGTAGATGAATGGGCTTTATTTATTGACAGTGAAATTTGAATTTTATGTAATTTTCACATCAAAAGGATTAAAAGGCCTTCTTTTGCCCCTAGCACTAACCCCTACTCCCACCCCTGCAAAATGTAAAATAGGCAATGGTGGGAGATTGGAATTGACTTGTGGGTCATATTTTGCCAACCCGTGCTGCAAAGGATGGAACTTTTCATTTGTCCTTTTTTCAGGTTATGAGGGTATTTTAGTACCTTGAGAAATGAACTCTTCTCATACATGCTGTAAACATCTTTTTAACTGGTTGCATCATGCCGAAGGAGATTACACATTTTACCAGGCTAAGCTTTTTGAAAATGTTTCCAAGAAAAAAATCTTATTAACAAGACTAAAGTATAATTCTTAGTAGTAACTGAAATCAGTGATAATTCTGTTTTACCAACTGTGATGTTCCTTGGATTAGAATACTTTTGAATGCTCCACTGTGATGTCATATTAGTATTCATGGATCCACTGGAGCATTTTTTGTTAATAGACCTGGTTCCTAGGTTTTAATTGATAATTTTTGTTTTTTAGTGTTTAATAAAAAAGTACCTTCTGCTCAGTTATGCTGCTGGGCTTAGTAAATTGTGACCACAGGGTGGTATGGTTCTCTTGTTGGCTGTAATTGTTGCTAAAATTGAAAGGAAAAATATTCTATACATAATGAGAATTTACTTCACTAATTATGAGGCTAAAATGTTCTGGCCTTCTCTAAATTGATTTTTCTGTAGTGCATTATTAATATTTATATAATATTAAATCTCAGTGCTTTAAACCTTGATACTTTACAATCTTTTGTTATGGTTATAACAGGGATTACATAGTTTGTAATTGGGAGAATGCTAATAATTTGGACTGTATTTCATAGACTATGTTTAGCCACTGCCCTTGATTTAAGAAGAAAAAAAAGTATAAAAACTACTAAAGGATATTTGCGGCTGGGTGCAGTGGCTAACTCCTGTAATCCTAGCACTTTGGGAGACTGAAGTGGGCAGATCACCTGAGATCAGGAGTTCAAGACAAACCTGGCACATGATGAAACACTGTCTCTATTAAAAATACAGAAAAATTTGGCCCGGCCTGGTGGTGGATGCTTGTAATCCCAGCTACTTGGGAGGCTGAGGTGCCAGAATCTCTTGAACTCAGTAGTCGGAGGTTGCAGTGAGCCGAGATCAAACCCCTGCACTCCAGCCTGGGTGACAGGAAGGAAATTCTGTCTCAGAATGAATGAATGAATGAATGAATGAATGAATAAGTAAAAGACAAAGATGTCTTACCTTCTGATAGTGGGAAAGTCATAGACAGAGTTATTGGCCCAAGATTTTTGTCTGATTTTGTGGGATTATTGTAGGGGTGGATAAAGAAGAATAGTGATGCCAGATGGTCAGAAAATATAAATTATTAGAAAAGCAGCCTCCTGTTGTAATAGATTAAAAATATTATCATAGGCAGGCTGGATGCGGTGGCTCACGCCTGTAATCCCAGCATGTTCTGAGGCTGAGGTGGGCAGATCACGAGGTCAGATCAAGACCATCCTGGCCAACCTGGTGAAACCCTGTCTCTAATAAAAATACAAAAAAATTATCTGGGCATAGTGGCATGTGTCAGTAGTCCCAGCTACTCAGAAGGCTGAGGCAGGAGAATTACTTGAACCCAGGAGGCAGAGATTGCAGTGAGCTGAGATTGCGCCACTGCACTACAGCAGCCTGGGTGATAGTGCAAGACACCGTTTCAAAAAAAAAAAAAAATCACAGATTGAGAGTTGAACAACATATGTTCAGGAGTTTTCCTATATAGTCATGAGTTGTTTAAATTATGGGGCTTTGTTGTGAGAAATGTGGCATTAGGTGATTTTTTTGATTGTGCAAACATCATAGCATATACTTCCACAAACCTAGATGTTGTAGTCTGCTATGCATCTAGGTTGGAGCCCAAGCTCATCCTCTTTGCACTCTGCCATTTCCAGGCAAGCCTATTAGAGTCTCTCTACTTTTGCTGGAGAATGTATGGACTTGGTAATGATTTATGGGGTATAGAATGTGGAGAATTATTGTCAACTGGAACACAGCAGTTAAGGAACCTTCTGAGTACGAGGATATGTCCATTTCTTATATCCCCTCCATCCTCTCTGCCTTATTCTTGGATTTTCTTCTATATTTCCCCCTACCCTCTCCCCTTTTTAACCCACTTACCAAGTAAATTTTACCTTCATCTTGTTGGTTAACTTATTTGTCTGATCACCTCCAGTAAAATATAAGTTTAAAGAGGAGAGAAGGATCTTATTTTCAGGTTCTTTCTGTATTGTGAATGCCTAGAAGGTTGCGTGGCACATTAGTGCTCAATCTTTATACTTGTTTCAACCGACTAGAATGGGGGCATAGTTTAGATATATTTGACTTTCCCTTACATATGAGGTTTGATGAAGGCTGTGAAGAGGAACCTTACTAATGTAAACTTGCTATATTGTTTCCTTTCCTAGGGTGATTGTGTTGTTACAGTGTTGCTTGCTGAAGAGGACAAAGTTGCAGATGATGTAGTATTTTACTTGGTATTTTCTGGTTCCACCCTCCATCACTGTGCAAGTACTCGGAAGGTCAGTTCTGATACATTGGAGACAATTACTCCTGGTAAGTGTTTGAATGGGATCCTTACTAGCTTTTCCTAGTTTTTAAACACTTTTACTGTATGTTTATTAGTATAGAGTGACAGGAAGCGTGAACCAGGATAATATAACCGTTGTTGTCAGATCTTTTAAATACATAGGTACTCTGTTTTGTTTATATCTTGCATATTCCACAAAAATTTGAACCTAAGTAAACAAAATGAAATAAAACATTGTAAATTGAAAGATAAAAATCAAGACCAGCAAAAATATTAATGGCAGCGGTGAGATTTTGGGAAAATAAAATATAAGTGGAGGTTTCAAGTGCTCACATGGTTACTACGGTGGGACTGCAACTCTGATTCTGAAAATTCATAGTGGCAAAACCAAAAGGTAAAACATAATTAGTAACACGTTCCTCAGTATCTGTGATGGAAAAGCTTAACAAAATGTTTCATAAACTCAGCTCTTCCCCAAGTTAACAAATTATAGTTCATGATGGAATGAACTATCATTAATCGTTGTTACATTTACGACTTTAACAGAATTAAGAAGAAAATGTTTACTTTAAAAAAATTCTTACAAAGTCATTAAGCCATTGCTGCTTCACCAGAAAAGGCTAATAAAGTAATGGTCATCTCTTACCAATCTCATCACCAGAAGACATACTGATTTGTGTTTGGAGAAGAGCTTCTTTGCCTAACTGACCCTGCTTCAAAGTTCACCGTTGACCAATTTTCATCAGAATTCAAAAAAGGACACATTTAGAGGGAACTCCTAAACTGCCAACATTTTTAGCTGTTTTCCTTTAGAGAACAAGACAGATACAGTTTTTACTGAAATATTTTTTTAAAACCAGCTTTGTAATACAACATTGATTCTACTTTGTTGGTATAGGTAGTGTTAAAAAATTATTAGTTTATAAAGCAGTTTGAATGTCTGGTCCTGCTGGTAGTTGAGCAGATTGCCAGTTTTTTATTGCTGTGCCATTTTATGTATATTGCTTTTATGTCAGCCAGCTACCAAATTTTGTAAATTATGACTTAATTTAGGAACCGGGATTATGACCGTTGAAAGCTGTATTTATCCTCCTACTTGGCAAAAGAAATGCTGTTGCAAATTAGAGGATTTAAATATTCTAGAGAGTCCCTAGGTATATTATTTCCAAATTTTTATGGACAGAAAATAAAAGAAGGCTCTCAGGATAGATACTGTTTTCTCTTCTGAAAAGTATCAGGTATCTGTCCTTGCGACTCATAGTTCCAGTCATTTTGTTTCCTGTGATGTATATCATATCAGAAAGTCTTCTCTGGAACTTGAGGTGTACTCTCTAGCAGGTGCTATCCAGTATCACCATTGCTGAAAATTTATTATGTGTTGGTGATAGGGAGAAACCGCTTCTTAACCAAGGTATAATCAATCAGTCCATGACTCAGTTCTCATTAGGAAAGGAATTTAGGTAATTTTTATAAACTTAATACTTCCTATATTAGGAACTCTTTAGGGTCATATACCTGTGTTTGCATATATATCTGGAAAGAACATACAAGTTGATACAAGGAGATTGCAAGCATATATAAGGGAAGAGGCAGATATAACAAGGATGCCCTCTGTCCTAACTGTGATCCTCGGTTACAAATCCCAACAAAGTCTGTTCTCTTTGTGCAGAGGGATGTGCCTGGAAGCCTTTACTCCTTTACTGGTAAAGTCCTTAAATTAGGATGGGCAACAGGCCATTACTATCCTGGAGTTGCTGAACTTGTATGACAGCCTGGAGCTCTGAGTTTGTACTAGATCCTTGTATATTGTCCTCAGCTTACCTTTCTGAACTCTAGTTCACATTTCTTCCCTTGACTTTGATTCTTTTATATATGTCAGTGTAAGTACTCTTGGCCTGCCTACCCAAGCCAAGCAGAATGGGAATTACACTCTGCTCCTTTCCGCTAATTTGGTCCGAATCCTCAGTCCTGACCTCTTAGCTTTCACCCTGGAGTCCTAACTAGTACCTAGCTTTTCTTCCTTTTCGACTAATCATTTCTTTTCTTACCCACATCCCAGTATTTTCCATCATGGTTATGAGGTCAGATAACTCCCCCATCCCATTGGCCTGAACATTCTGCTCCCCACCTGAATTTAGTCAGGCAGCTGATATGAGCTGCCTCATCACAGCAGAGGTAACCAAAGGAGTAGAGTCCTTGAAAGACCTTCTTGTACCTCTGGAAGTCCAAATGCAGAGTAAGGCAGTGCTTTAACATGTGAGTCTTTGGTATGTGTGCAAGGGTACCAGTGAGATCTTTGGTTGGTGTAGTAGAAGATCTGGTAACTAAGCAAAGGAGATTCCTGACTGGACCCTATTGCCTTACTCATTACATAGGAGATTTTTCTGGTTACTTGTCTTTTTGAGCGACTGTCATTTGGTTTAGTTGGTAATTTATTGTGGAGGGGTAGAGATAGGGATATTTTGAAAGTTAATTTCTTTTGAATTTCTTGTTTATATCATGGGGTAAATTTTCTAGCCTGGAACTAAACTTTTTAAAATCTGCCTTTGTGGACTTGGACTTGTGCCTTCCCTTCCTTCAGGCCTGTACTCAGCTATCACCTTCTCAATGAGGCCTTTTGGTACAGCTTATAAATGTACCCAGCCGCCTCCTCTCCACATTTCCTATCCCCGTTTCCTGTGTTAGTTTTCTCCATTGTGCTTTTCAACTTCTCACATGTATTTTACTTACCTTACTTCTTTTCTGTCTGCCCCAACTAAAGTGTCAGCTTTATGAGGACAAGGATTTTTGTTTGTTTTGCTCACTGGTATATGCTAAGAAGGCTTGTTCTAGGAAGCTGTCACTTGCTCGAACAACATTTTTACTGTCACACATCCTGGTTCCCAGAAGCTGCTCTTCTAGAAAGATGTGTGTGTGTGAATACACCCACAGTCACGTATAATTAACCTTCTCAGGCCTTTTTTTTTTTTTTAAGTACATTCAAAAGGAGTCTCTGGCTTCTTGAATTGCATACTTAGCTTGGAGAAGAAGGCTGTTTTTGGTGTGTCCCCCCCACCCACCAGCTACGCCAGAGCTCCATTCATGGTTTCTGTGCATCAGTTAGCTGCACTGATAGCTTGAGAGTTCCTGTTTGCTGGGGGCAGTGCCAAATTAGTCAAGATTCTTCATGGAAAGTCCATGCAATGCACTGTGCCTCCCAGTTCCTGGATAAACGTGCATGGTCTGCTTTTTGCAGCAGCGACTGCCTACAGGGATGCCTCTGTACTCTTTCTGATGACATGTGGGACTAGCTCTGCAATTCCTAGTTATTTTGGCTAAGAGAAGATAAAGCCTTTTTTTTTTTTTTTTTTTTGACGACGTCTTGTTTGGACGCCGAGTGCAGTGAATGTCACAATCTCAGTTCACTGCAACATCTGCCTGTGGAGTTTAAGTGATTCTCCTGCATCAGCCTCCAGAGTAGCTGAGATTACAGGCCCTTGCCATCATGCCCGGCTAACTTTTGTGTTTTTAGTAGAGATGAGGTTTCACCATTTTGGCCAGGCTGGCCTTGAACTCCTTACCTCATGATCTGTCCTCCTTGTCCTCCCAAAGTGCTGGGATTACAGGTGTAAGCCACTGTGCCCAGCCTGTTCTTGCTTTTAATGTCATGTTTCATCCAGATTTCTGGATCTGATTTTTCTTTAAGTTCTCTGTATGTTTCACTGTCAGGGTTTTGTAGCATTTTAGTTTTTCGTAAAACCAAAATATCGATTGACTTTCAGAAGGCAGCTACCTTTTTTTTTTTTTTTTTTTTGAGACAGAGTTTCGCTCTTGTTACCCAGGCTGGAGCGCAATGGCGCGATCTCGGCTCACCTCAACCTCCGCCTCCTGGGTTCAGGCAATTCTCCTGCCTCAGCCTCCTGAGTAGCTGGGATCACAGGCACGTGCCACCATGCCCAGCTAATTTTTTGCATTTTTAGTAGAGACGGGGTTTCACCATGTTGACCTCAATCTCCTGACCTCGTGATCCACCCGTCTCGGCCTCCCAAAGTGCTGGTATTACAGGCTTGAGCCACCGTGCCCGGCCAAGGCAGCTACTTTTTGATGTTAGTCTGTAACCTTTTATCAAATCAATATTTTCCCCAAATAGGATTGACAAGTAGACATTCTAAATTATCTCCTAATAAATTTTTTTGACTTTGGATATTGAAATTGCAGGCCCGTCTCCCACCCATCTGTTTTCTCATTTTTTAAAATGTTTTCTTATGTCTTTACATTGAAGTGTTATGTGTGTCTGTCCCTGTCTTTGCCCCTCGCCACCCTCCCCTTCCACCCCCCTGTGTGTGTGTGTGTGTGTGTAAGTACAAAGAAATTGTAAAGGCCTTTTAAAGTCACTATGATATGATTTCCCCTTTCTTTTAAAAATAAAATAGATTAATCATAAGGGGTAACATATTAGAGAGCAAGTAAAGAGGTGAACTTTGACTTTCTACTTTTTCTGTTTGAATTGTTTAAATGTTTACACTAAGCATGTTATTTGTATGATGCATAGTAATTTTCGATGAAAACATTTTGAAGGCTGAAAACAATGTCCTCCCTTTTGAAAATAAATCCATCTTTGTGCTGATTAATACTGGAGGCTAACCAAGGCTTTATAATAAAATGTTGCTTTCAAAACACCTATGAAAGTGGCCAGTTTAAGAATATAATTTCTTGGCCGGGTGCGGTGGCTGAAGCCTGTAATCCCAGCACTTTGGGAGGCCGAGGTGGGTAGATCACGAGGTCAAGAGATCGAGACCATTCTGGTTAACATGGTGAAACCCCATCTCTACTAAAAATACAAAAAATTAGCTGGGCACTGTGGCGTGTGCCTGTAATCCCAGCTACTCAGGAGGCTGAGGCAGGAGAATTGCCTGAACCCAGGAGGCGGAGGTTGTGGTGAGCCGAGGTCATGCCATTGCACTCCAGCGTGGGTGAAAAGAGCGAAACTCTGTCTCAAAAAAATATATATATAATTTCTTTGAAACATAGCTTGAAATAGAATTAT